TGGAGTTTGATTTAATTTTTTATTTTTTTTTCGTAATATTGATAAATAGACTATTTTGTGTAGCTTAGAAAAATAATGTTAATTTTAAAAAAATAAAAGCCAGCCCTACCAGTCTATGTTAACACACTATACAAATATAAAACAGAATTATTGAAAACTATTACCTTAATAACACATTATAGCGCTATTATTCTCTTCATATTATTTCAATCTTATAAAAGCTCTCATTCAAATAAAGGGCTACACCAAAATCAAAGTAGGCTTTAACATGTTTTTTTTTTCTCTTAATGATTTAAGTCTCGAGGCGGATTCTTCCTGTTCACCAGACGACAACTTCATAGGAAGTGGAAGAATGAAAAAGATATAGAAAAAATGAGTCTTATCAGTCGGTTGGAGACGAAGTATGCGTTCTTCAGGTAAAAGCTGACATGCTTCGTTTTTCACAAATGTATTTAGCATCAAACTACATACACAGTTGGCTACTAGTGTTGCCTTGGCTTATTGTGTCAAAGTATTTTCATCTCATTGTCATCACTAAATCAGTTTCAAAAAATAAAGTTTCCCCCCCTCCCCACCTCCAAGGGTCTATGGAGTCGTGAGATTAAACTGGAGAAGACTTGTCAGATTTTCGTTTGAAGTAAACATGCCAATGATTGTCGTGGCTGTCTGGTTGGACAGAGATTAGGAACATTCAACACAACAATAATCCAACTTTTGCAACAAACGTACGCCAATATGGAGGGATTCCTTACGTCTTACAGGGGGATACAACAAAGTTATTTTAAGCAAAAAAAAAACAAAAAAAAAACCTTCTGAATCCACTGAAGGCTCTTTCACCACGCATAGCCTTCATATGTAAACGTATGTTTTCTATTAACAACATGTGTTATATTTTTGTACTCTCAAGTTCTTTCTTATCTGGAACGACACAATCTCTTGGAAGAATTTTAATCTGCAAACAGGAAGTGCCGTATCACAGAGACATCAGTAGTCAGTATTAAATGACGTTCTTCGCAACTCCGACATAGGTCACATATCAATCCTTTGCATTCTGGGTTTGTCCGCAACCTTGGACATGCTAGACCATGAGATTATGATGGCCAGATTCTCTGCCACTTTTGGCATGGATCCTACCTGACATATTATTATTATTATAATTACAAAGCTTTTTTTTTTAATTTTATATGCCCCCTTCTTTCCCCCCCCCCCCCCCTTCCCAACTGGTCCAGACAAGTGATAGGAGGGTAGCGTATCGAGAAAGCTAAAGGCATGAAATTGCGCTAAACAAAAACAATTGGTAAAAATATTTCTAATCGCACAGATGTATTTTGTGAGTCTAGAATACTAGATCTATTACAAATTTAGTTACATGATTGATACAAACTAATGGATACAACTACTCTTAATAAGCTTTTTATAAAAGTTTTTTTTAATATATTTTTTCTTGTTTTAGTTTCTTATCTTATAACATTCATTAAAAAAAAAAGATAGTTACGTTTAGGTAAATATGTCAGTTGTCTCTGGAGTTCTTGTCACTTACAAGTTAGCTATGTTGCCCACTCAACCACCATCGCTCAGCAACTTCATGCTGCCTTACTTAAGATCGTCTCCCTGCGTTCAAGAATTCTAGTGGAAGTCGCTTAGGATGATTTGTATTTTACTCAGGCACTTTTGATGGCAAACGTTGATAAACGGAACCTGTAATATTATCTTGTTTCTACGTATTTCACCCTGATACAGGGAAATACGAGGCTTTTATTAAGACGCCAGTGTATTAGAAAGATTATTATGACCCATTTTTTATTGTTAAAAATTAAATGGAATAGATTTCTTACCGAAGGAAAAAACAGGACAATGAACAGTTGCGACGCAAGATATTTGGGGTCACAGAGGGGGGGGGGGGGGCTTGACCTTTTTTTTTTAAGAAGGGGGGCCCTGCATTTTGACATTCGACATTTAAAGTAAAAACAAAATTAGGACATTCGTTTGGGGGCCCCCCTCAATTGGAGACCCGGGGGGGGGGACATTCAAATTTGGACTCCCCCCCTTAACCCTAGCAACGCCACTGAAAAGGAAATATGCTTGAAAAATTGTAAATGTGTGTTTTGAATTCTGTTTCGCTAAACGAAATGTTACTTTTTTTCTTTCAGAAATATTGTCCGTCTGTTTGGTCGCAAAAGAAAACACTGTCTGTCATGTGGCCGCGAAGGGAAAGAGAGCGACATGACAAATTTTACCCACTGTGTCAACTGCAACATGCCGTACTGTAACGACTGCTTCACGGCCTTGGGCAATGTGTGCACAGCGTGCATGAGCCCCGTGAGTAGCTGGGATGGTAGAGGTTGAACTTGCTCTAACTTTGATACTTAGACCTAGAAAAAGATGAAGTAAGTTTCTGTTGACCAGTTGCTAGTTCTCTTTTCTTCTTGTGGTGGCAGGTGGACTATGGTGATCAAGATGATGTTAGCGTGGAGACTGACTCAAGTGAAGAAGAAGAGGTAACCTTGACATTGCACTGTTTGAAACAAATGCTTTAGTTCTGCTGGACAACCTTTAGTTCAACGAAGAGGGATCTAGTCCCACATAAATTTGCAGTGAAAAGTTGATGTGGTATGTCAACAGGCTGTGGCTCGAGTCTTCGGATCGATTACACGTTTAAAAGACTCAGTGAAGATCATTAGCCTACCAGTCATAAGATTTGGCAGTGATCATAGACTTAACATGTTCGCACATGTTTAATTTGTTTGTAAACTGTATGATATTTTATTATCTTTTTGGAAATACAAATCATTCATAACTTTAACAAAATGAAATAAAAGAAGGATAAAGCAGAGGGGGGGAGGCGGGTGATGTTACTTTGTGAATATCAGTAAAAATCTTTAGACCTTTCAGACGTTGGTTCTAAATTGAAGATTTTTCCTCGCCCTTACCTCTTGCAAAAAGTGGCTGCAAGACAGCTCGAACTCGAGATCGTAGTGATCACAGGCCGTAGTGCATACCACACGATCAGACAGACATTACTAGTGACCACAGCCGTAGTGCATACCACACGATCAGACAGACATTACTAGTGGCGGCAGTCCGGAGGGCATACCACACGATCAGACAGACATTACTAGTGGCGGCAGTCCGGAGTGCATACCACACGATCAGGCAGACATTACTAGTGACGACAGTCCGGAGTGCATACCACACGATCAGGCAGACATTACTAGTGACGACAGTCCGGAGTGCTTACCACACGATCAGGCAGACATTACTAGTGACGACAGTCCGGAGTGCTTACCACACGATCAGGCAGACATTACTAGTGACGGCAGTCCGGAGTGCTTACCACACGATCAGGCAGACATTACAAGTGGCGGCAGTCCGGAGTGCTTCCCACACGATCAGGCAGACATTACTAGTGGCGGTAGTCCAGAGTGCTTACCACACGATCAGACATTACTAGTGACGACAGTCCGGAGAGCATACCACACGATCAGACAGACATTACTAGTGGCGGCAGTCCGGAGTGCATACCACACGACCAGACAGACATTACTAGTGGCGGCAGTCCGGAGTGCATACCACACGACCAGACAGACATTACTAGTGGCGGCAGTCCGGAGTGCTTACCACACTATCAGGCAGACATTACTTGTGACGACAGTCCGGAGTGCTTACCACACGACCAGACGTAATATTTCTTATGTTAAAAATATTTTTTTTCAAATTATAAAATATATAAATGTGCTTGGAATAATCTTTCTGAAATTAGCATTGGGCTAGAAATTTAAATCTCTATGATTCAAGAGTATGTGATATGTTGGGCGATAAATTGGCTTAAAAATAAACGCCTCAAGCCAGATGATGCCCTGAACAAAGTCCTCAATTTAAAATGACAAATGATTCTTATTCTTTAAACAGGATAAACTCATTCGCGTCGCTACGTTAAAAATGCGCAAACAGAAAGCCGCTAAAAAAGTGGACGAGAGACGCCTCAGCAGGTTGCTAAGCCTTTTCCAAAAAAAGTTCTTGAACCCGGATGATCCCATGACGAACAAACCCTCCTCAGACGAGTACACCTCGGAGTATGACGAATCTTACCAATATGAGTCGAATGCGACCACATCAGAGGACGATAGACCCAAGGCTCAGCTTAAGAAGGCTAGAGCAGACAAAGTGTCAATGGACATCTTTAAGGAACGAATGGACCATAATGTTCTGGCCTAGATTGTTTCAATTCTAGGCCTTCAAAAAACGGCATTCCAATAGTTTACGTTTTACTGTGGTTTGTAGTGAGATCTAGTTCAATTCACTAGCATAGTCAATGTAATATATAATATATATATATGTTGTTTTTTTTCTTAAGTTTGGGTGGATTACAATTTTTTTCATGACAAGCACGCAACAATGTTATTATTGTTAAAATTTAAATTTTCTGTACAAACATAGACTTATTGATTAGCAGATTCCTAGATGGGCTTGACCAAAAAAATAAAAACATTTTTGTCACAGAACTGTTGAAATAGTCATCTTCCTTCCTGTGACCCCTTCTAAGTTGTAATGTACAAATATATATATGTAATTCAAAGACAAGTACCATCGAATTGAAGCAATGCATAAGATTGACTCGTAGAAACAACATATTGACAGCATTCAGTGAATGTTTTGTTTTCCTCCTAGGACCATTGTGAGATTCAGTTTTGTGATTTGATCCAACTACTTAGTTGAGAGATAGGTTTTCAAATTGCCCAGATATTCTTTTAGTGTGAAAATTACAATATTTCCCCAAAAATCTTGTTGCTGAATTTAATTTTTTTTTAAATGTTCTATTTTTATGTATGATTATTGGGCCTCTGTAAAAAAAATGTTTTAATCTCCTTGTAATATTAATAGAACTGTTAACTTTGTAATATCCTTATAAAACTATGTTTTTTCTTTCTTACTATGAACCAGTGGACCTAACTTATTGTGATGTTATAAATTGAAATAGTTAATGGTAAAAAAAAAAATAATAAAATTTGTAAGTTTAAAAACTCGTTTTACTTTTATTGTTTTGTTTCTTAAAATGCTTTTGTAAGCATACTTTTCATGCTAGAGCGTATTCAGTGCACTATGGTCTAGTCTCTCTGTGACACAGAGATTGGTCTCATACTGAGGCTGGGAGAAGGCTTCTGTGCTGCTCCAGCATGTGGTTGAGCAAATACAACTTAGCTTGAGTCAGGACTCCAACTTAATTCCACCTGATAGATAGAAAAACTGTTTTTGTCACTCACCCACACACCCCACAAAAAAATAAAAAAAACCCAGCTTAATAACTAACATACTCTGGTCCTAACATTACAAATGGCTTTTCACTTTATCAGGGGGAACAATCTCTTAGTATGTCATAGATTGTATTACTCTAAGGGGGCAGTACTCTTTCTAGTGACAGACTTGAAAAGCAAGCTGACATAAGTCATCAACATGAAGTTTATTGATCATAGTTTACATTCACAGCAAAACTGACCAATGAGACCATCACTAAGATTTGACCATAGGATTTCAGTGAGTCACATTAAACTACAATAACATCTCAAACAAACAAGAAAACCTAAACATCCACCTTGGTTGCATTGCTGGTACCAAACCAACCAACTGGCTCTTAAACACACTCTCCTTTTAAAACTATATTTTACACTTGGTTTGTAAATCAAAGAGCTAAAGGGAACCAAGAGGTGGTGATAATACCCACCTTAATGTCCTTGTAACTCTTGTGGGATGTCAAACTTGTAAGCACAGCTATTGTCATCAATCACATTAATAAATGCAATGCAAAGAAAGCTAAGGAATGTCTGCTAAGGTTTTTTTTTTTTTTAAAAAGGCATTCATGCAGGATATAAACCTTGATAAAAAAGAATATAAATTTGAAATAAAATGTACACCGAACAATCTTACTATATGAATGAACAACAAGTCAATTTTCTTGTAGTAATCTTATACACAGGGTTCAGTAGGCTAAATATGATGTGCATAACTGGATATTTAATTCTAGGTATTCACACATATTGAAGCACGTTACATCTTCAACTGAACTTTTATCAATGGCAGCCATCAAAGCACACATCTCCATCTCAATGCTAACTTTTAGTGTGACTTATTATGTGACAATATATATATATATAAGATGTTCTTATTGAACTAAATATCTGAGGCAAATAGGATTAAAATTAAAATCTATATAGAAAAAAAACATTAAAAAAAACACACACACTTAAGAAATATACTTAACTTTGTCACACTGAACTGGAGATGGGTCTGACATAAGTGTATTTGCAACATTCAATTCAAAAATAAAAAAATCTAAACCCAAAACGAAAGTAGAAAAAAACAACAAAAAAACAAAACTGTAACATGATATATTAGTGTGACTGTGTGACCACTCAAAGAGTTAGGGACTGGCTCTTGGTAATGATGGCAATTTTTAAACACAAACAAAAAAAAAAAAAAAAAAAAAAGAAAACATAAAAATGGACATCATAAAAATCAAAATTTTATACAGCTGCTTCTTCAAGTTGTAACAGAAAACAAGAAAACATCTAAACAAGAAACAAAGTGATCAAAACATCCTTTAAATTGGAACTAGTATTAATAAACAGCAAACTGTCTACATTTCAATGGCCTTGGATCACATTTATTTTTCACCAGAGCATAGTTACATAGTTCAGGGAGGAAGTTACAATTGAAGTTGGCAGCAATTTTTTTAAATCTTAGATTGGCAGGAAAAATCAGAAAAAAAAAAGTTAGCAGGGAATGAATGCTACTTTTATTGATCTGTTTCATGTCCATATCAATGACTCTATTAACACTCATAGAAACCTCTAAATGGCAGCGATAATCTATCAACAAGTCCAATGAGAGCACATAATAATTCAGTGTGTTATGAATGAGATCAGGATGAAAGATGACAATGAATATAAAGTTATAAGAGTTCACAACAGCAACATGCCTGTTGTGTTTAAGTTCCAAAAGATTGAGTCCAAAATAAATTTTTAAAAAATATTGTTATTTAACAGAGTTTCTTGAGAGAAATCTTTTCATCAAATATATGTTGGCAGACCTAATTAGACAGACTTTCTAAACAAGAAAACCAAAATTAGAATTATAATTAAACCTAAGATGTCCTGTTAAATTTATTACTCTTTTAAAAAATGTCTAGAAATGGTACACACGAAAATTAAAAGTTAAAGAAAAAATGGAGATAACCACTGACGTTTATTAAGTATTTTTATCAGATATTTAGAAACATTTCGAATTCATATCATTAACCAGTAGAACACAGATGTAGATACATTGAGGTGATACAAATGGTTAATAATTTCAGTATTTATATTACTAGACATTATCAAGAGTATATTTTCAAATTGAAGAGAAATTTTTTTTAAGAGTAAGGATCTCACACAAATTTTAAAAAAGCTTTTAAAAAAAAATCTGCATAGTCTTTTGGTGAACTTTTTTATTAGGCCACCTAATACCCAAAAGCTGATTTAAATTTTGCAATACTCTCTTGTTTAACTAACTCTCTCTCTGACCTAGTACTAGCAATCACAATGAACTGCACTGTAAAACTGAAACAGATACAAAATAAATTAATGAAGTGTCCATTCAAATTGTATGGCCTGAAGAATGACATTACTAAAAAAAGAAGAATCGCAGTCTTCTAGGAAAGAGACCATTCAAAATTGTGATAAGAACTTTGAAGCTTAACATTGTCTTATTTATTCTTCTACGACTTACATAGACAAATATCAACTCAGACAACTCAAACAGCATCAAAAAAGAAATCACATTTTAGTTGATTAAAACATTATGATCTCAAGCTTTAGACCGTTTTTTTTTACATCATTATGTGTAAAAAAAAATGTTCCTAAAAAGGATCTGAAAAGTATAGGCTTTCAAACCAAAATCTGATTTTATTTTTTTCTGGTATATTTTCAAACCATGGAAGAGATGTTAATCCATGTGATCACCAATGACATTGTACAGAGGGATGAGACCAGTGGGGGTCAAGAAGACAAGTCATGTGGTGTCAGCTAGACTTTTTTCAAACCAAAAAGAAAGCAGTTGGAAGACTGGGATGGGTTTGAATTGAACAAAAAAAAATGATATCAAAAGCCAAAGATCTTTCTAAGAAATACTCTTTCACATAAATATAAGTAGGCCTATTGGCAAGGTTCTTATTTTATGGGAGGAGGAAAAAAGTGCCCATTAGTTTTAAGATTTAGAAAAATGATTTATGGTTAAATATTCCAGACTTAATGAACAACTTTAAACATCACATAACATAGATCAATATTCATAGGTTTCTGAATTTATGAGTTTATGATACAAATAATTTTTTAAACTCTTATTTTGACTTGGCAGCACTACCAATTAAAATTAACACAAAAATCTCACCTTTAAAAAAGAGAGTATATTTTACTAAAAAGCAAAGATTTAAAAAAAAAAAAAAAAAAAGACTTAATCAGTATTTTAAAATTTTCTTTGCCTTCTTAAATGGAAATTATACTTCAACCTTCAATCATTCAACAAAAAAATCTTTAAACAAGTCTATTTCTATATTTAAAAAAGAACCCTGCTACTAACAGAATGAATGCATCATTTTTTTATTAAATATTCAAAAAAGAAAAAAAAGTGTTTAAGACTAGCAATCACCAATAACCATTGAACAAGTTCATTAGAACTTAACATCTAGACCCCCACTGAAGACATCACGCACTGGACTGAGAGGAAGTAGACAAGAAAACTAATGATGTCATCAAGACTCTTCATTGCCTGAATCCTCCTCATCCTCTTCATGGTACATCTCCTGCTCATCATCATCCAGATCATCTACATAGTCATCATCATAAAAGTCAGCATCTACTTGGTTATCATGAGGTGGTATAGACGAAACACAATACTCTTGTAATGTTGTGGGAACTCTGACTTGGTCTTTAGCTGCATCTTCTTTTGTTGCTTGCACTTGTTTTCTTGAAAAATGTAAACATGAATTGTATAAATGCAGCGACAATGTCTTCTGATTTCATGCTTGATATTACAATAAATAGATGATGCAATTATTTTCTTTTTAAGTGAATAATCCATGAATATTCAAATATTGTTTTAAACTAACTTCTGTGCTAGGAAGAAAAGGTTTATTCTTGAAGGGATTTGGTTTCCTGGGATGTCAGACCTGTGTCGTGGGAACAAGCAAATGATTTTAACTGCCCACATGTTGCGATGTCACAGGTCAGTGTTCAGACCTATCATAGCAATTGGTCTCGATGAAATGCACTTGTTTTAATTTTTAAAAAATTGATTAATGCACTTGTTTTAATTGAGAAAAAGTCTATGTAATCATAACACATTTCAATAAAGAAGTCTATTAGTCTCTGGAGATCTTAAGATCCAATGCTATGGAAGTGTCCTTGATTAATCAATTTTATATAAATTTTTTTTCGTTGATCAACTTTCAGTAATCACAATACTGTGATTGACTGAGCACTATTTTGGAGGAAAATTTAATTGCAAAAGCAGAAAAAAAATATATATCAGTTTTTTTTTATTTAGACTTTTAACCTTTAAATAATCTAATTTGATTCAATTTATATTAAAAGCCAATGAACTAGTTGCTGGCATTTTTGTACAGAGGTGTTTTCATTGCACTTTGACTCTATTCAGTATGTAGATTTTGTGTAAAATATCAGTAGAATGACAGGTAGGTGTGTCATTATTAAAATGCTTATTGTCTTGGTTTCCCACAGAGCATAAGATTTTTATGCGTGTGTTTAATTATGTTCAACTGAAATTCCTAGTGACTGTGGCAAGACATGATAAACTTTGTGTTTGGTTGAAAGTGTCTGACAAATTTTGTTTACCTAATTATGTTTTCATACTCCTTCTCTTTTTCTTTAGATTCTTTCCATTTTCGAAACATGACTGAAGCATCAACATTTGCAGGGGAGAATGTGTTGGGTTCATTTAGCAAAGATATAACACTGAGTAAAATGGTTCTGAAATGTTGAACAAACGAAATGACATTGTTAGATGTAAGAACTAAGAAGAAACTGAATACAACAGTTCTATTGAAAGTCTTAATTTTTTCATGGTGATTTAAAGCACACATAAGAAATGTGTTCTATGTTTAAAAAAAAAAAGATTATTGATGTTATTCTGCTGTCTTGTTAATTGTATCAAAAATGTCTATATTTCAACTTAGACTCAATGTGAATGTCACATCACAAATAAATTCTAAGAACACTGATTTGAGTCACCTTGATTTAAAAAGAAACTATATTAGTTAAATGTATAGTATCAGTTAATGATTGATAAGCCTCTAAATTTCTGATAGCAATTATTGAACACAAATTTATTTTTACACACAATTAAAATGACAAGTTTGCAAAATGTAAAACAGCAAGAATCAGCAGAAAGCTAAACTATGATCATGTTTTATAGGCTTTAAAGTTAGTTCATTTCTATTTCATTTCCCTGACAAATTTTTCTGATTTTAAAAAGAAAAAAAAAATCTCATTGCCATAAATTATAAGAAAATAAATAAATGCTATTGAAAGGAACATGTAGCCCAGCTCTCTAGTCTGACTTGATTGATTCTAGCCAACAAAGCTGGCCTCAAGGACATGTTAACATGTTTTTTTTCTGGTATGGTTAGCCTTGAAAATATAATTAAGATGATAGCATTTCTTTTTTTTTATTATTAATTATTTATTAGGCTTAGACTTAAATTTTTAAAAACTATTATATTTTATATAAGATGGTAAAGACATTTTTATTATTTTGAATTTTTGAAGTAAAATGAGAAAAATGGAATCAGGAAAATAAATTTAAAAAAAAAAAGTACATCTTCAATCTTTGTGGAAATTTTAAGAAATTATTATTAAACTTAAATATGTGCCTCTCCTTTGAATATACCTAACAGTCTGTGTTGGGTTCCAACGTTCTGATGGTAATTCACCACTCTGTGGATCATCTACTGGTGGATGGAGAATTGAGATACATACTTCACCGTTCTAAACAAAGAAAGAAGAAGAAAAGCAAACAGTAAATAGGTTGTTAGCATTGCAGGTGACACAATTCAACTTTAGTTAAACAGCATGAAACATCTTACTTCATATACATTAGGATGCCACATCTTTGAAATAAATCTGACGCTTGGTGGAGAGTAGGGGTAATCTGGAGGGAATTTCATGTGAGCCTGGGAAAATAAACCAAAAACAACTAAAAAAATGTGATATTTATTGGATTTAACAATTAATAATATTTCTAAGAACTTTTTATATATGTTAAGCTGAATTATGATAATAAACCAGTTATAGTATTGTCTTTTTTTGGTCCCTATGGCTATTGTCATTCTGTATCAAATTTCTCATAAAGTGATGCATTCTTTGTAGGCAATACCTAGGATCCTCTTGAATCTAGTCCAGTGGTAGTCATTTAAAAATGTTTGTTTAAATTCCCATT